CCCTGAGACAGATACAAGGATTTGTACCTATGACCCCTGAGGCAGACACGAGGGTGTGCACCTATGACTCCTGAACTCTGGAGGGTGAAGCAGGTCTGAACTGTAGAGAGACCATATCTCAAAAACACACAAAAAAAATTGAAAATAAAAACTGCATGTTCACAGAACATGTACACATCTTTTTCTTGTCTCTATTCCCGAAAGTCTAACAACTATTTAAACAGTGCATTAGGCAGGATTTCTAAGAGGAGCAGAACTTGAGTGTTTGGTGAAAATGTTTTCAAAGGCAAAATCAAACTAGCACCACAGCAGGTACACAACTGTAGGCATCTGCAGACAGATAAAGACAACTCAGGCTTCCAAGAGAAAATGAGAATTTTCAGAAAACTTGTATTCCCTATTATGATTCTGACAGCTTACCCATATTTAAACATACTTCAATTTTAATATAAAATATTTATGTTACTTATAAATAATTAAATACGAATGCTATGAATTTTAATATCAAAGAGTACAAAAAGTTCCTGACAAGAACTGTTCCCTGTCGGGCCGGGGTGAGCACAGGGGCAGACTGCTTGCTAAGCAAGCCTGAGACTGGGTTTCCATCCCAGCACTGGGATGTGTGAGAGGCAATTATTTGCCAAGTCTTAATGGAAAATCAAAGGATATCTATTATAGTCTAAAGTACCCATCAAAACACTCTAATCTTTTCTACACACTCAACTGTATGAAGCTGGACTTTCTTCATAAACGTCAAAGAAAGTAATATCTCAACAGACTGAATGCAAAAGTGGGTGTCAGATCCCAACTGTCTTATGCTAAGTCGGATATTAAAGAGATTTGTAAATCTTTAAAACAAGGCCACTTCTTCCATTTTGGTTGTCAAATATAATTACTTTTTATAAAATGTTGCATTAACAGAATGGATTGTCTTCAGAATTTTTTATGATTTTTTTCATTTAGAAAATATGGCAATTATCAGTGACCCCTGGCACTGGGGTGACTATGAACTGGCTTTGAGCCCACAGGACTGAGAACTGCTGCTGTAAGATGCGCAGCTGGGATGCAGGGACCGGACACGGCCTGTATGCGGGTGCTCACTACTCCATTGTTCTGCCCCTCCAAGTACTACCCACACCTGGCCTGGCTTAGCTTCTGGGAACAGAGGAACTCAGAAGAGTTCTGACAAGCCGAACGTTACCGGCCCGAGTTAATGTCTCATGTTTTTGGTGCTTTTCCAAATGGGCTGTCTCTCTTTCTGCCTGAGAGAGAACGGCAGCTCAAGAGTGTGAAGGAGGCTAAACGCTCTCCTTGCCCACCTTTCGTGTGGCGTGCCAATGATCCACCGTCATAGCCCAGCACTCAATTAGTAATCAGTAGTTTAGAACGAAGAAACAATTACTAAAGTTTACCTTCTCTTCAATCCATGATTCAATAGAAGTTTTGTTTCTGAGAATAATTTTTATCTGGAAAGGAAATGACAGTGAAATTTAACAAGGTGACTTTGGTTTACTTTGGATCATTACCATTCTAGTAAATTCCGAGAGAGCTTTACTGTTCTGCCCCAGAGATAAAGACAACAAAGATGGCAGAGGTTAAGTAGCAGCTAGCATGGAGCCCGTCCAACTCTAATTACTGCACTGCAGCATCTCTATGCCAAACTCAGCATGCCCACCCAAAGCAAAGCTAAGTCCAATAGTTTGATTATAATTCATGCCTGAAGTATCAAAATTTTTCAGGGTATTAAAAAAAACCAGTAATATAAATAATTGAAACAGTACTTAAATGTAATTGCTATGAAAATTTATTACCATTATGTATGTGTATGCATAGTTTATGAGTGTGTATACAGTGCACGTATGTATATGCAGCATATGTGTATATACTTGTGTGTGTGTGTGTGTGTGTGTGAGTGCATGTGTGTAGGGGGTATGGACCTGTGTGGTAGCCTCTGCTTTATTTCCCAAACCTGGAGCTCAACATTTTTTAGCTAGCCTGGTAGCTACCAAGGCCCAGTAAGCCTCCTGTGTCTGACTGCACGACATTAGTGCTGGAGTTATGGGCACACACAGCTCTTTTACATGCGTGGTAGGACCCAACTTTAAATTTATGATTAATCTGTTCACAACATAGCAGTACACATCTTCATTATACTATGGTTTGAATAAGAAGTGTCCTCCAGAGGCTCATCTGGAATGCTTGGTCCCTAGGTAGCAGCACTAATTTAGGAGCCTCTGGAAACTAGTTGTGGCCTTGCTGGATGATGTGAGCACGGGAGTTGTATCCTTGGGTAGTTGAATCTTTACTGGGTTTCTCCCCATAAGCCATTATACTTCCTGTCCACCATGCTGTGAACAGCTCTCTCTTCTACCTGCTCCTTGCTACGATGCTCCACCTCACTGTGGAGCCAAGGACAGAAGTCTTAATTTCCGAAGCAGTGAGCCCAAAAGAGCCCCCCTTCCTTAGTATTGTCAAGTCTCTGTCCTGGTGACACAAAAGTAACTAACAGCTTACGCCTGCCCTACCTAGTTTCTTTACTGTGACTAAATTCATGCAAAGTATGGTCCATGTAAGATGTGACACCAAGATCTTAATTTGCTTTTATTAGGATTCTTAGTTTATAGGCATTATAGGAAAAAAAAAAAACCAATCTCTGTGCACTCCCTTAGAAACCTCCTCCTTTTCATTAATAATTACGTTTACTGAACACATGAATGGGTGACCATGGGTGAATCTCCTAACCTTTTTGACAATCACTCGTTTTTTGCATGGAAGTGAAGACAACTGTAGGGTGAGAGCAGCTTTCTCAATTATAAAGATGTGTACTTTCACATCACAAGAAATAGTGGCTAGCTATTCTGGAAAATTAAAATTAACTACTGGACACAGGTGATTAGTTGTCTATAAATAAGTAATTTCTCTCACATACTGAAACTTTCTCTCTTTTTTATAGCAATCAGTCCAGTGACATGCAACTTTCAGACAGAGGCAACCAAGAACTTTACCTGTATGAAAAACAGCATCCCAACAGCTATGGTTGTCCCCAATGCTAATCCCAAGGCAAACAAGGTGGCAGCAAATGCAGCCAACCCGAAGGGAACAATTGGAAGAGGATCTCTCCGGGCCGCACTCATGTCAATCTTGACTGTGTTCCACCCAAACGAGAGCTGCAAGCAATCACAGTGCACACGGGAAATGCTGTTGAGGCAAGCGCTGCTGAAAAAGTGACTGGCAACAACACGACCAGAGCTAGGGAGATGGCTGCCTAAGTATGAAGGCTGAGTTCAGATCCCCAGCATCCACATAAATGCTCCACGGCCATGGTGGCCCTCCTATACACTCAGTGTCTGCAAGGCCAACACAGGGCATCCCCAGGGAAAGTTGGTTAACCACACTCATCTTACCTCAACCTCTAAGTTCAACTGAGAGAACCTACCTCAGTGTACACAATGGACACTTGGCGTTAGCCTTGAACTTCCTCGTACATGTGGGCCCCTAGGCCTCACACATGTGAACATGCACACACACAGGTACACTACCCATGAGAAAAAAATAACATCAACAGTAAAACCCCAACGTGACCTAAAAGATAACCACAATGACATGCTGCCAAGGCAACTGCAGCAAACAGCAGTTTCTGATGAATACTCGGCGCCTACTGACATGTACAGTATCTTCTTTTTTAATCAAACCCAGGGCCACAGTCATGCTGGGCAAGAGGTCTACCACTGAACTACATACATCCACAGCTCCATCATCAGTATTCTTCAATATCAGTTACTGCTGTTTTCTCAGAAGAGGGAGACGGACCCTACAAAATGAACAAGGCAACACCAAGCCTCTGCTATCTTCTTCCTATTCTAAAATGACAGTATTCTTCGACAGCAGCAGACACAGCACAGTGGTCAAGAGCTCATAGGGTGCTGATAAATACAGCCTGCAGACGAGTAGTGCAGGGCCTGTATGAAGTTCTAAATCAGTGGCTCTCCACCTGTGCTGTTGTAGGGAGGCCACTTGTTTGTTCTCGCCTGCTCAGCCCCAAAATAACCACACAGAAACTATATAATTTAAATCACTGTTTGGCCCATTAGCTCTTGCTTCTTATTGGCTAACTCTTACATCTTAATTTAACCCATTTCTATTCATATGTGTAGCGCCATGTGGCTATGGCTTACCAGGTAAAGTTCCAGCATCTGTCTCTGGGTCTGTCTCTGGCGGGGCTACATAGCTTTTCCTGACTCCACCCTCTTTCTCCCAGCATTCAGTTTAGTCCTGCCCCTCAGCTCTATTCTATCCTATCACAGGCTCAAGCAGTTTCTCTATCAACCAATGGCATTCACAGCCTACAGAAGAGAATCCCACATTACTATGTGTCTCAAACCCCTTTGGGGATTTTCTATCAGATATCAGACATAGCAGATATTTACATTACAATACACAATAGTAGCAAAATCACAGTTCTGAAGTAGTAACAAAACAATTTCATGGCTGGGCCCCACATGGAAGTTAGGAGCTAACATCTAAACTCTGGAAAGTTTATATGAAAATTCCAATTCCTTAATACTGGAAGATTAACCCACAGATGGGCTACAGTCACACATGGATTGTCCTATGAAGGACATGTGCTCCCCAGCTTGTTGTATACCTATTGGGCTGTGTTCCTCTTTGGATCCCAAGTCTATTTATGGATTTTTTAAAAAATGTGTACAACTTCTGAACTTTCTCTCATGGCTGAATGTCCAAAAGTCAATTCAAACTATTTTTGGTTTAATATGTTTATTTTAGGAGCGTGTTTGCGCCATGGACCAAATGAACAAAGGAATGACAATCTGTTACAGAAACCAAAGGAAACAGAAAGAATACCATATCCACCAAGGTAGAAATGTAATAAATCATGAATAAGGAAAAACAATAATTATAAAAGGTGAGTTTCCAGAATAAAACAATCTTACCTCATTTCCAAGACGAAGAGCTTTCTAAAAGGAGGAACTGATAATCAAGCAAGCTGTTGTACTAGTTAAATCACAAAGTGTATTTCCAAAAGGGACTCCTCCAATACCCTTGGAGACATCACTGAGTCTGACAGGAATGGTAGTGTATCACGATGTCCACTCACCCGATTATAAAGCTGTGTATACATAGTCATCACAAAAATGAAAGCAGCATGGATGCAGCCCAGAGGCGCCAGCAGGAGGAACAGTGTGAACGAAGCATGGTTCTGGTGACCACAGCAGTTGTTGATCCAGGGACAGTGGTGGTCCATCTTCATGATACATCTAAGAAGAACACGTGCATGAAGCATACAGCACAAACTCGTGTCTCCTTTAGCTCTGGTTTTCAAAAGACCAAGCACATAGGAATGCAGTATGCACAGGAGTCATGGGGGTTAATTCTGATAAAACAGATACATCTTTATGGCCTTTTGAAGCTACATAGTGACTTCTTTAAAATTTTAAACAGCAGTCAGAAATCACAATAGTGTCTCAAGTAAATGTGTCTGAGGCAGGCAGATCTCCCAGGTTGAGGCCAGCCTGGTCAACAAAATGAGTTTCAGGACAGCTAGGGCTACTAAGAGAAACCCTGTCTTAAAAAACCAACAACAAAATAATTTCTTACACAAGCCAGGAGGCTCTGCAAGAATCTCATTATAAAGGAGAAAGCTCGGCTGTCAGTCTCTTTAAGTTCATAAATGTCATAACTGGCACACAGTTCCCACGTGACTCCGGAGAATGATTATGTGTTAGACATGGAGCTTCTGACCGAAAATAACCTTAGCACACACGATGCCAGTGCTTGTGCTCTGTGTCTTTGCTAAAGGTGGACTTCCTAGCAAATCAGACTTTATGTCTATCTCAATATTTCCTAAATTTCATATTAATGAACAGATGCTGCTGACAGCCAGGTCCTGGCATATTTTGCAAATTTTATAGTGATTCAGTTTTCTTCTCATTAATTTTTTGATAATATGTATGAATAAATCTGAGAAAACCGGCCTAATTCCAACTGAAAAAATTCTGAAGCTATTCAACATGCATTTGTTGAACTCTGTGAAGCTGTGTTACCCAATTGGTCTAATAAAGAGCTGAATGGCCAATAGCTAGGCAGGAGAAAGGATAGGTGGGGCTGGCAGGCAGAGAGAATAAAAAGAAGGAGAAAAAGAGAGAAAAAAAGATTTAGGATGGAGAAAGAAGAGAGGAGGACTCCAGGGACCCCAACTAGCTACACAGTGAGCCACAGAGTAAAAAGTAAAGAAAGGTACACAGAAACAGAGAAAGTTAAAAGCCCAAAGGCAAAAGATAGGTGGGATAATTTAAGAAAAGCTGGTTAGAAACAGGCCAAGCTAAGGGTGGGTATTCATAATTAAGAATACGTCTCCATGTGTAATCATCTGGGAGCTGGGAGGCAGGCCTCCAAAAGAGCAAAGAGAAAAAAATATCAACTACAAGGAAGAGCAGGTCAGTAGTCTGTGTCCCTCAGTTTCTGGTTCAAGCTCCTGCCTTGGCTTTCTTTACTGATGGACTGTAACCTGCACGCCAAATAAACCCTTTCCTTCCCCCAAATGCTCTGTGGTTAGTGCTTTACCACAGCAGAAGAAAAGTAAACCAGGACACTTGCAGAGAACAAAAATGGTTTCTACTGTCATGACGGAAGATATAACAAAAAGCATAGAGACCAAGAGGATCAGCTCTGGGTAAACAGAGAAGCCACACACCTGTTACACTTCCTGCAATGGTGTGAGCGTGGTGCTTTGTATGCTTGGCAGACTTTACAGTACTGGAGGTACATGCTATCCTGAGGATTCTCCTTGACAGAAAAAAAAAAAGGCATGTTAGTCACTTGATCCTAAACAGTAACAAGTCAGGATTTATAAAGGTCCCTATAGTGGCATAAATTTCTATTATGGGTGATGGGGGAAGGAGGTCATTAACTCACATTTCTAATGCCTTTACTTATGCTAAAACATTTTTTAATTGATAAACTGTAAGAAGGGCTTCATTCTCCAGATGACTCAGAGGTCATTTTTATTTCCTTTTCTCCACTCTCACCCCAAATCTAGTGTCATGGTTCTATTCACCCAAAGCTGAGCGTAAGTTTTAGATAATTTGACTAGTATTTCAGAGTAAAGTTATAAGTTGACACTTTCTCAAATCTCCCTTGTCATCTCTCCTTGGTGTCATTTCAATAACTCCTATTGGTTGTTTCTCTCACCCAAATCTGTGTATTACAAAATAACATTCCTCTCCAGCTCTGCCAGAGCTTTGCCTGAAACCTCTACACATCTCCTGCGGTACAAGCAGCTCCCATGCACACACTGACCCACTTGCCTTTGTTTGCCATGGTTTGCACTACTCTGCGTTTTTCCCCCTTCAGTCACACAAGGCTGTCCACTTTTTGGATAACTGTTTCCGCCTGTTCTCAGACTGAGGCGTTCTCTTCCCTTCTCTGGAAACTTGCTATTTAGACCAGGCATGTCAGCTCATAGGATGACATGCCTCTGCCTCCCTGGTGTGGTGATTAAAGGGATGAACTACCACACACAACCTCTTTTTTTTTTTTGAATTATTATTTAAACAAAGAACAAGTACCAATTGCTTTGGAATAGCAAATGTAAACCAATATTTCAAATGGACACCAATTCTAATCAGAAGTGACAATCAGTGACTGGAGTAGCACACCCAGGGTCTCCTAGGACAAAGGTTGATAAGGCAAAAAAACAAACAAACAAACAAAAAAAAACCCAAAAATGTAATTATCATGGCCAATTAAACATAAAATTATGTAATGTTCATTATCAAAGGAGATCATTTTCTTACCGGTTTCCACCCCCGAGGGACAAAGCCAGGACCAGCAAACATGGCACTGAAGTAATGGTAAAGAATCATGACAGTCCAGTTTATCAACATGATAAAATTCACACTTCCTCCAGTTGTATGTAAAGGCCAATACCACAGGACAGAGTCAATCATGGCCATAGTAGAACATATTGCTATCACACCAAGGGCTATAATGGGGCCCCAGTGACACAGTCTCTTTAATTCTTGAAGATTTTCAAACCTGATTACTGAGCAGAATGTGCCCATTTTGGGTGCCTTCTTTCTTTTGAAGAATTAGAGATTCTCTTTTTCTGTGCACACATTTCTGTGTGCATCAAGTCCATGTGTTCCTGAACTGTCATGCCTTTGGCTGACAGAGTGTTAATCTGGAGTATGCCATTTTCACTGTTGACATCCAGACTCCTTTACATCAAGAAGAATCTAGATTGGTGTGAAACTCAACCTAAAGAAACCAAAACGGGAAAATTCCGTTAAAAAAATTCCATATGCCATTTATTTAACTCCAAGAAGCACTGTAACAGCACCCCAAAAGCACACTAGTGTGCCAAAAAGAATTACCTTTGGATTGATCCAAAATACAGTCCAATCTTGAACTGCATGTAAACTGGACACATTAAACAGTTTTACTCCTGTGTGCAAATTGTCAGGAAGGATTAACTATCCCACGCTAAGTGGATAGTTAGAGAGACCAAAGCCTCAGAGAGCTAAGAAGCAGGGTCTTACCTAATTCTTCCTACAACAGAAACAGGCTTAGAGAGGCTGAGTGATTATAGGTCAAGGTCACGAGAAATGTTGGAGTCCAAAATAGAAACCAAGGCACCAAGCTTCTTTTAGGACGTTCTAAACTGCTTCAGAGATGTGAATTAAGTGTAATATGCTCTACAACATAGTACTTTGTGTATTAAAAACCTGCAGTTGTTCCCGCAAGCGCCAATATTAACAATCGATCGGGGTTAAAGGTACAGGAACAAGGGTGAAAGCAAAGAAAGCGGCGCGCGCGCACGCGCGCGTGTGGTTTGTGTGCGTGCCCGCGCGCGGAAAACAACAACTAAAGCAGTGAACGAGAAAGAGCACAAATATGTGTATTTAAGGAAAAATGAATTCCCTCCGGGGACGAGGGAGGGAAAAGGGAAGAAAATAGCTGGAGAAGTGAGTTCTGAATGGAGTGGAATGAGTCGGGAAACGACCTGCGATAAATGGGTATGACGTCTGCCTAACGGATTCCCACGCAGCTGTTGCGCCTGCGGGTGCCTCAGTTTCCCGCCCGTGCCGTGGTGAGGGACCCTCTGGGATCTTCACTCGTGAGACAAATCGTCTTACTAAGTGAGGTTGGGCTCAACATTTTGGAGATCCTGAACCGACTAGGTCGGGGCGAAGACCGCCCCACACGCGGGTTGCAACCCCCGCAGTGACTCCCACCTCAGTCTGGTCTCCGGCGCCCGCTCCAAGGCCAATGCATTTCCGGGACGGCCTGGGTTCACCCGGAACAGATTTTTTCCTCCTCAAAGCTCCGTCACGAGTTCTTCAGTTCTGCGCAAGCCGAACGCGAACCCTGAAGGTGAGGAGTGCGCGACCAGCTCCGGGCCGCCGAGTCTTAGATTTACGGGGCCGCGGCCAGGCTCCCGCTATGGCTATTGGCGCAAGCTCCGCCACAGCCACTTCCGGCAGGTCCGCCGCGTCAGTCTTCCCTCTGAAAGCAGGCGCCTGCAGCTGCTTAGAGGTCGGGGGAACCCCAGCCGTTTCCCTTAACGTGCAGTGTGGGGAAGTGTTTTCGGTGATCCCCGAGAGCATGCAGGTTTTCGTAGTTCTTTAGGGGACAGTGAACATGACGTTTTTCCTTAGTTTCACTCTCGACGACTGAGTGGAAAAGAAAAGACGCATCCCCCTCAGTTTCCGGGGGACAAGGATTGTGAAGAGCAACCAGGAAGCGACTGGGCTGGGAGGTGTCCCCGGTCCCCGCTGTGCTGTGGTGGCTTCTTCCCAGGGTCTCTGCGCTGAGGCCCTGCCCCCTTCGTGAGTTCTCTCCGAGCTAGACCCCGGCTCCAGCCGACCATTTCCGAGCTGCCATGTCTTCCGACTTTGAAGGCTACGAGCAGGACTTTGCAGTGCTCACTGCTGAAATCACCAGTAAGATTTCCAGGGTCCCTCGGCTCCCTCCCGGTGAGTACCCTGCCCGGCCGGGCGGGGGCGGCCTGGAGAGCCGGGAGCGACGGAGCGCCAACTGGGCAAGCTAGTCTTCCTGGCGGGGGCTGGTGTGGGCGATACTGGCGTCCCCGGGAGGGTGGGTGTCTCGACTCCGAACGTGCTTCCAATGCACAGAGCCCCCCACCATGGGAACCAGGGGGCTGGTGTTGATTTCCTACCCAATGACTCTGAAAGCTTGGAAATGTTGCTCTGCATCTTGATTCCCCCCTCCCCCCAGGAAATTATAAAGTAAGAGTATTAAAAGAAAATGTATGAAAGTGTCAAGATTGTGGATCTCCAAATGCAGCAGTGTTGTTTATTAAATAATGCTGTTATCCTTATTTGCGGCACGTTAGAGTGATGACCCCGAATGCCTATATTCCAGCCCAACTCTTGACACTTAGAAGTTGTCTCCTAGGCAAGTGTTCGTACTCTTTCAAAACTTCCTTCTTGGTTAGAGAGACTCGTACCTCATTCAAGATTAAATGGCACACATCTGTGAAGCCCTTTGGGTAGCTCTTGTTAGGATTCATAGTTTTCAGACCTCTGCCCCAATTGTGTGTTTTTCATCCTTCTTGGGTTATAAAACCCAGTTTTATGTAAAACTTGGTACAGGGTAATTTTGTTCCCGTCTAAAATCCCGCATACCCCAGGTATCACGCTCTCTACTAGGTTGTCAGCAGTGTGAAGGTGGGAGTCATTATCTGATCTCCTTGGCATTTCTTTTCCAAGGGCTCAAAAGAATGCTTTTGTGGACAAGCAGGTGATTATAATATGGCATCTTGTGACTTGTAAGATAGTGTTTTAGGGTTGATTTTTCTTTAAGTACAGATTTAGCTTAAGTAGTTAGAAACAAAGTATGAGTTTTCTTATTAATTTTTGGCTCAGTTTCATTAGGGAAATTGAACGATCCTTGGGCCTCTGAACTTGTCTCTATTTCAGCCCTGGAGCACACTGTCTAGAAAAGATGATTCCCATTGACCTCCAGAATTGTGGGTAATACCACTTTCTTACCCAGACAATCCAAGATGCCAACAGTAACTTCTCTTGGATCTAACTTGTTCCTCATCCCCATTCCAGAATTTCCCCCAATCCTTGTTTTATGAATAATTTTCTTCCTTTATTTCTTTGTCCCCCCTCTCACTTGTTTTCTGTTACTAGGGATATTTGCTTGAAGCCAGGACCTCTGACCTTACATCCCTCTCCATCTCGAAGTCCCATTTAGTTCTGAAGGAGGTGGATGATGTCTTAAAGAGGTTAGAGTCCAAGGGAGGGAGCAAGAGGAGAAACCAAGGTAGCATGTACCACGGAGCTGTATTGCCTCAGAGTTTTTGGTGGACAAAGTGGATGATGGCCTCCTGCCTTCCTGACCCTTCGCCTCGCCTCTTCTCTTCAGTCCCACTTTTCTCCGTTGCCCGAGATCATCTTGGTTTTGTTGTCACTGTTGTCTGAGACTTCTGCCTTTGACTTGAGCCCCAGAACCTCAGAGCACCAGGACTTGTAGCTGCAGTTGGAGTTTGCTCGTTTTGAATTTTAATGTGTCTTTTGTTTGTTTTTAGCAGTAGAAATATTTCTTTGGCAAATACTTTAGTATTGAGAGACTGTTTTGCAAAGTAATGTCATCCAGGGTACAGAATTGTGTTGACCTTTTCTGAGAAACTAGATTTTGTTACAACTGAGTTTTCTTGCCTTTGTGTTTAAAATTCTTACCACATAGAAGGAAACAGTTGAATTAAGTGTCTTAAAAAATAAAGATATTGTCATGCCTCTTCTTATATGTAATGTAACATGAGGCCCAAACAGACTAACCATATTTCATCTGAAAGGAGATTGTATTGCTGGTATTGTGGGGAAAAAAAATGTGTACTTGAATAATTAAATGACTTTAAAATACAGTGGTTTTCCTCTTAATGATTTGTGCTTGCTCCCTTTTAAATCTCCTAATTGTTAGAAAAAAATATTTTTTTCATGAGTTTATGAGCTAACAGGAATAATGTAACTATAGCAAAAGCAGTATACTCAGCAACATACTGCTTTTTATTTCTCAATATTTTATATCCATATTATAACTAGTAATTATAATATCCCACAACATCATAATGGTTGTGTCACTCAGCTGAAGTAGACCAAAAGATGAACTATTATTTACTTGGAATAAGAAGATAAAAAAATTGGAATAAACCTTGACGTCAAGGTAATTTATGTAGGTTGGAGTACCCAGAATCTGTGGGAATGAACTACTCTATTGTATATGTATATGTATTATGGTGACTTCCAAATAGAAAAAAAATTCTGAAATTTTATTTTAAAAAGAAACTTGATTACTGTGTAATACTTTTTCAATAAAAAAAACTTTGCTCTTTGAAGTGTTTGAATCTTAACTAATTTTAATAGCTGTGATTTTTAGATGGTGGGTCCCTTAATGAATAAATACTCTGTGGTGACTGAATTTAAAGATTGATTTTTAATGATTACTGTTACGTTCAAAAGTCAGGAAAATCAATGAGCTGGGACCATAACACTCTTGATTTTAAAATTTCCTGATTTTGTGGTATTGGGGGTGAATTGCTTAGTACAGCAGTTTTCCACAGTGCAGAACTTCCATTACAACAGGCATCTTGGAGGACCCTCACCAGAATTTCATTTTGCTCTTCTCCCCATTCACAGAGATGTAAGGGTTACAATTAGAATGTACCAAGAATGTATTTTGGCAAAAAAAAAAAAAAAAGAATGTATTTTGGCAAAGTGATTAAGGCTCAGAGTGCTGCTGTCAGAACTGTTAGGTTCCCTTGCCTGCCTAAACTTACTACAAATGTACTTGTGATCAGATGTCTTAGTCTCTGTAAGCTTGCCTCTTCCATCTGAAGAATGGGAAGGAAAGGGTGGTCATTTTAATCTTAGAATGCTTTAAAATGCAAATGAGGCATGCAACACAAATAAGAGAAAGCATAGCAGACTAACCCTAGGGGATATCATTTCATCTGTTCTTCCATCAGCAGTGGGCAGGCTTGGCCAGGCTCTAGCTCAGACTTTGTCTTCTCAACTACTTTAAAGAAAACCTTGACTTTAGATCCTTACCTCCTTTCTGTGCCTGAAGTAGAGTGAGGTTAAAGGCTCTTGATGAAAACCTACATTTCAAGAAAAGTAGGTGCTGAGGGCTTTGGGATGTGGAAATGGTTTTGAATTCAGGATATCAAGAAGGAAGGGAATTGAGGAAGGGCAGTAGCAGTGATGGGCAAAGCAGGTATCTTTTAGAAGATGCTTGTATCTAATGAGGAACTGTGTCACCCTGGAAGGTTTAGGGAACCATGGATGCTGGCAGATAGGATACTTTTCAGTTGAGTATATTGGGAGAACAGCCATCAGTTGTCACCTATGACAGTTATGCTTTATAAACAAGTGTTTGGGATTTTAGTCATCTTTGGATAGTAGACACATAGAAATTTGTGTCATGAATTGTAACATGAGGGGGCCATTTTGTTGGGATTTCAGTCCCGTTCGGCACCCCACAGCCAGCAAGCCCCAAAGAAAATCACACAGAGATCTCCATAAGTTATAAAACTGATTGGCCCATTAGCTCGGGCTACTTATTAGCTCTTATAACTTACGTTAGCCCATTATTTTTATCTATGTTAGTTAGCCACATGGCTCAGTACCTTTCTCAGCGGGGCAGCTTACATCTTGCCTATCCGGTGATCTGGGCAGAACTGGAGGGAGCTTCTTGCTTCCCAGAATACTCCTGTTCTCATCTCCCCGCCTCTGCTTCCTGTCTGGTTGACCCACCTATACTTCCTGCCTGGCCAATCAGCATTTATTTAAAACATGATTGGCAGAATACAGACAATTCTCCTGCACCACTTCCCCCTCTTTTTTTTTTTTAAAAACAAAGGAAAATATCCATAGTCCATTTTTTGGGAATGTGGGCGTAGTATTCCAGGCTACTTCCTGCTGGTTGGGGGGCACTGATAATCTTATAGGGACCTAAAGAAAATTATCAAGTCCTGACTGGAGTATCCTGTGAGTCTTGATTACCTCAGGCAGCAGTCCTGAATCTGTTTTGGATGTAGAACTCTGATATTGGGTCATCTGTCCCTACTGGAGATTTCTCAGGTGGTCTTCCTTGATCAATCCTGATTTTTCTTAACTCAGAATGAATCCACAGCTTCTCATTTCCTGTGGAAATAAAAGCAAAATCTCTTCTCCAAAGTAACATACCTTTTGACTTCAATTTTGAAGTCAAGGTATTTTCAGAATACCTATCTTGGATTAATTCAGCAGCATTTATAAACAAATATCTTTTAGCAGCTGTTGCTCCTTTCTCAGCATTCAAACAATTCAAAGAGAGCATAATAGCATACAGTATCAAGATTCTCTGTGTATTTTCCATCTTTATGCGACTTTATTTTAATCTCTATTTCTTTTATTTTTACTTTTACTCTTTGAGACTGGTTCTCTATATATCTTTGTCCTGGAATAACTCTGTAGACCAGGCTCTCCTTGAACTCACAGAAATCCTTCTGTCTCTGTCTCCCCAGTGCTGGGATTAAAGGTATCTGCCACCGCACCTTGAACTCACAGAGATCTGTCTGCCTCTGCATCCCAGGCATTGGGATTAAAGGCATGCTTGAAGTCACAGGTCAATCTATCTCTGCCCCTTGAAGTCACAGGTCAACCTACCTCTGCCTCCCAAGTGTTAGGATTAAAGGTGTGTACCACCACACCCAACTACTCTCTTTCTTTCTTTTTTAAGAACTTTTAACCTTTAGCCTGCACACGCTGTAAACCATTTAGTAGTTATAAATCTGATTGGCCCATTAGCTCGGGCTACTTATTAGGTCTTATAACTTATGTTAGCCCATTATTTTTATCTATGTTAGCCACACGACTCAGTACCTTTCTCAGCGGGGCAGCTTACATCTTGCCTCTTCGGTGGTCTGGACAGAACTGTGGAGGGAGCTTCCTGCTTCCCAGAATACCCCACCTCTACTTCCTGTCTGGTTGACCCGCCTATACTTCCTGCCTGGCCAATCAGCATTTATTAAAAACATGATTGACAGAATACAGACAATTCACCCACACCAACGTATGTGTATATGCACATGTTTTCATGTTTAAATGTACACACATTGGCTACACTCAAAATCCAGAGGGATCTTGCACCCTTGGGCAGTTTAGTTAATTTAAGTCATGGCTTCATTTTATATTTGTGGTCCTGGGGGTTGGACCCAAGGCCTTGTCTCTTGTTAAACACACACTTAGTCAGCTGTACTCCTGGCTCTAAACTTTATTTTTTTTTTAGAACAGTTGAAATATAAAAATCACAAAAATAACTCCATTTACCCATGCCAGCGGCCCCTGTTAACACCTGAATCCGTATTATTTGGTATTGACTGAAGTTCATACTTTATTCACATCATCTTAGTTAAAACTAGAAAGGATTCCTTTCCTTTTTAAACCAAATGCCCTTTTGCTGCTCCAGGATCCAAGCATGAATCCTACAAAAGATGAAGCAGTCATGGCTCCTTAGACGCCTATGGGCTGTAAGCAGATGGTTTTACTGGAGTAACAAACACTGGCAGAACACTCCTTGATTGGGATTTTCCCACTTTTTTGTTGATTTTACCTCTTATTATTAGCCTAGAATAATGGGTTTTAGTGAAGACAGACCCAGATTGGTTACTCCCACAATGTCAAAAGGACATGCTCAATATGCCTTTTCACTGCTGATGTTAATTTTGATCACCTGCTGAGGTACTGTTTGCCACTACCAGTGTGAGCAAGGGATTGAGTCCAGCTGTTGACTGGAAGCCAGAATTGCATAAGAAAGCAGCATTTCTTTGTCTTGAAGATGGGAGTCTCAGAGGAGTGGGCAGTGTTGCTTGAGAAGAAGAGGGTGCTGAGCAGAAAACTAAAAGTGGTCAACACGAAATGTAGGTGGGGTCTGTGAATGAATTTGATGACTTACTAGAGAAGGTAGCCATGGTTCCATAATGTCTTGTTGTTACAGTGTCTAAATAAACCATTGAGACTCAACACCTCAGTTTAAAAGTCATTCATTGGGGACACACACACACACACACACGTACATGTATATTTTAAAACTCCACTTAGAAAACACAGGCCAAGTTTTAGGAAGAAACCATTTATTGTTCAGGCTCCCAAACCAGTGAGTAAGTCAGTGGGTTTGGGTCCGAAGTCAAGATTTTAAGTATCTGTTTCTTCTATCATACATTACTCCTTTTAAAGAGTTTTCTAAAATTTTGTTTTCTGTACATAAATGTTTGCTTGCATGTATGTGCACCACATGCATGCAATGCTGGAGGAGGTCCCCTTCCAGCTCCCATTGGATCTGGAGTTGCAGACAGTTGTGAGTCACCATGTAAGTTCTAATAACTGTCTCCGAGTCCCTGCAGGAGCACCAGTGTTCTTCACGGCTGAGCCCTCTCTCTCCAGCCTCATACCTTCTTCTTAGCATTATTGAAATCATAATAGTAAGGAGTTACAAGCCTTGTCCCAGTTTGTGGAAGTGTTTTATATATAGTCACAAATCAGTGATTTCAATTTATTGCAATGGTGACTTAGCAGATTTCTCAGGTCACCACTGTATCTGCTATAGGCATAATCTCTACCAGGAAGCAAGGTTCTTTTTAGTCTCTCTTATAAATATATGACCTCTTAAAAATTAGGCCCTTCCTTGGATTGTGTATTTCTACATATTGCAGAGTCAATGTTCATTGTAGTTTGTGACCTACTGAAGAGTAATTTTTAATGAGTTATTTTTTTATGTACTTTATGAATATGGGTGTTTTGTTTGTATGTATATTTCCATAACCAGAAGAAGGCATCATATTCCATATGGATGGTTGTGAGCCACCATGTGAGTGTTGGGAATTGAACTCAGGACCTCTGGGAGAGCAGCCAGTGCTCTTAAATTCTGAGCCATTCCTTCAGCCCCCTAAGAAGGATCTTCTTGCTTTATATTTTCTGATTTGGTTGATCAGAAAGGAGATGGCTGTATAAAAATAAGAGACTTTAGAGCATTGGGTCTAAAACTGTGGGTTGACTCTCAGGTGGTCAAATGACCCTTCTAGAGGTCACCTAAGACAATAGGAAAATATAGTTATTTACTTTGTGATTCATAATAGTAGCAGTTATGAAGTAGCAATGAAATTAATTTTATGCTTGGGGGTCACCTCAACATGAGGAACTATATTAAAGGGTTGCAGCATTAAGAAAGTTGAAAACCACTGCATATTCAATTTATGTTGTATAATTATTATTTCTTTGATATTATTGCTTGTTTTAGATGAGAAGAAGCAAATGGTTGCCAACGTGGAGAAACAGCTTGAAGAGGCCAGAGAATTGGTGCGTAGCCTCAGGGGTGTATTGAACGCAGCCCCTTGAGCCGAACCCCGGAGTCCGCTGTGTGTGCTGTGGGCATGCATGGAACAGTATGCGCTCAGGCTCACTTCACAGTTCATTGCTTTTCAGATTAAAGGGGATTTATTCACTTCTAGAGATTTTATTCTTTCTAGTAAAGATGGCTCACTAAATGCCAGCCTCTAATTTATATTCCTTCAAAATTACCTCCTAAGAATCCGTCTCTTAGTACATGAGCTTAGTAGCTGATGTTTGACAAAGGCACACCACCCACTAGGGTAAGTGCATTGCTTGTGTGATAATCGTTAACTCTCACAAACCCCCTGTGGGATAACTTGTCTTTCAAAACTGACAGAGGTCTGAGATTTCCACCACATTGGAAGCTGAAAAAGCTTGCCAGTCTGTATGGATGCCCACGGAAGATATGAGAGTTCTTCTGTATCTGTATGTGTGTACATGTTCATTTGCATGTTTATGTGTGCGCATAAATACATATGTGTGTAGAGGCCAGAACCTGACATCAGGTGTCTTCTCTTCAGTTTCTCCAGTTTCTCTCAACCTCTCCACTTTTTTTTTTCTGGCAGGTGTAGCACAATTTCTAATTGGTCTTAGTAGTAAAAACCTGGAGTCAGATATTAGGGGGTGAAAACTGAAAAGCTGAAAGATCAGATTCTTACCTCTACCGCAAAAGTTCTTACCTTAGACCCAACAGGGGGCAAAATCCTGCCTCTACGAATCCTGAGACTGAATGCCTTCAGCTCCTGTCTCCTCCCGCCTTACAGTCCTCTCGTCTCCCCCTCCCTAGTGCAGGGATTGAAGGTGTAAGCCATCATCAGTCACTTGGCTATTTCTCTTTTAGACTGAATCAGTCTTGTGTAGCCCAAGGGTGCCTTGAACTCAGAAATTTGTTGCTTCTGTCTTCTGATTTCTGGGATTAAAGGTGTGTGCCACCACTACCTAGCCTCTAAGGCTAACTAGTGTGGCTACCTCTGTACTCAGATCTTCAGGCAAGCTTTATTTGCTGAAGCATAAACGAAACGGTTCTGGCCCTGGACCCCTGGCTCACTGACTCAGGTAGAATGTCCATCAAGCTCCAGGGATCCCGTGCCTACTTTCCAAGGACTGAAATTGCAGGCGTGCATCGTGCCACAGCCAGCTTCTGTGTGGGTGCTGGTGATAGAGCTCAGGTCCTTGTGCTCGTGCTACAGACGCTTTGCTCCCAAGAAAGGAGACTCCCCAGTCAGACACCGAAGCCTCCTGTTAAAAGAGGCAGCTGCCAGGATGTCAGCTTGGTAGCTTTAGTCCCCCAAGCCCCAGTTTACACTGAAGAGATGCAAACACTTGCTTCCACCAAGATCGCAAAGCCTGAGCAATAAGCCACATACAGCAGTGAAGGTGTAAGTCATAAACAATCCCACACCAGTTTGTAATTATGATTAATAGAATGGTTATTTATTCAGAGGGGAAAAACTTACTGATCACCGCCCCAGACAACAGCCCCTCTGCGCAATCAGGAAAGGAATCTAAGAGCCGGAAGCGTAGCCGGAAGCCAGAGAGAGAAAGGATGACAGCTGCTGCTTTTTTAAAGAGAGAGAGACCACGCCCCAATGGGCTGATATCTTAGCCGCTATTGGCTGAAGAAACGGAAGGAGCTCCTGCAGCTCAGCAGCCTGGAAGTAAGCCTGCTCATCCCAGAAAAACATACTGTTTCATTCTTCAGTGGCTCTGTGTACATAGACTTTGAGATACAATGCGGAAGACTCGTGAGAACACCACATTCATGCTCAGAGAACCCTGTGGGAGCTTCAGAGAATCATGGTAGAGTGATGCTTGGATTGCTGCCACCCTTGTATGAGGACTGAAGCTCAGGAAATCCAGGAAATGTGTCTGAGGTCCCACACTCTCCTATGCGCTCTGCAGGCTTTGTGCCGGGGTCTACACCTAGAGCCCTGGCTCACACACTGCTTTCTCATGACAACAAATCCTAGGGAGAAAACGAAGGAAAGGTGTTTTGCCCCAGCTGTGGAAACTGTTAGATTGTTACTGTGCATCACGGGACAAGCTAGTGGTGGCTTTTCTGAGTACTGAAGGGACACCCGAGGATGTGCTGGTAGACTCAGGCCGGTTTTCTGAAGGGTTCCGTTTCCTGCTGTTACGTACCCAAAACTTTTGCAGCACTACCTCAGACGTGCCTAGGGATGCAGGTTCTTGACTATTGTTGTCTTCAGCACCTCCTTGGACCCTTAGGCAGCTCAAGGGCATTTTGAGCCTCTAGGAAGGCAGAGATTTCTCTAGAGGGTGACTGGAGGGCCTGACATTCCTCCGTCTTGCTTTGATGGATTATAGTTGTCAGTGGAGCCATGCACTAGAGGCAGCAGATTTGGAGGGTTCAAGAAGGAAGCTGTTCTCCATAGCACAACATACTTTTCCTGAGGTCTAAGATCGACATGACTGGGACCTGCAGAGTTGCTCCTCGGTTTTCAGTCTGTTGTTCCCCTTGTGGTCAGAATGACCAACTGTATCTGTACCCTATTACTTGCAGGGACTGGGGCCTCTGCCACTGTCTCTGCCTCTGTTTCCTCATCTTCTCATGCCTGCCCTTCTTTATCCTTTCTTTTTATATTAACTGTTTCTTTCACACTTCTTCCCTCTCATGTGAAGACTTTAGATGCCAGAGCAGCCAATCCGTACATTTCTTCCTTCTGCTTGGTGGGATAACTAAAGATAAAACTAACTGGTCAGTTTTTTGGATCTTGAGGTATATATACTTGATTTTTTACACATCTTAGGGCTAAGATGTGATTGGGATGACTTTTCCTACTGTTAAGTGCCGATGGCAGCTTTTTCCTCTTCAGGACTGCTGTTTTTATCTTTTTAAGGCTCTAGAGACATTTTGCTTACTTGATGGTGAGGGAAAGCTGCTCTCTTCATGACTGAGGAGGTTCTGCCATAACCACGTCCGCATGGAGCTGGCAATGCTTTATTAGTAGTAATATGACAATGTGAATCTAAAATAAGCATTTCTGTTTGTTTAAAATGTTCAGAAATCTGAATTACTTACTTTTACTGGCATCTTAGATGATAGACTGTTCTTTTGCTCAGGAAACTGTTAGAAAAGCTTGATTTTGATTTGCCTGCTCGGATGGTTGTGTTTCTGCCCATCGTGGTTTGTAGTAATCTATGGACACTGGACTTACTGTACTTCCATGTCCTCTACTCTTCAGTGGCTACACGAGTGTTGTGAAAACAGAATGAGTATATGGTCCTTATTCTTGATCCTAATAAGACTTATCTCACCTTGCAGGAAGTAAATACTTACAACGGTTCACTCTCTCCAGTCTTATTCATACAGTGCTGAGAGTCCTAGCTAGAGTGATGAGAAAGAAATGAAAGGAATACAACCAGGGATGGAAGAGGTCAAATTACCACCTTTTCAAGATGGCATGGCCCTGTTTTTAAAGCTCTAAGGACTCTACCAGACAATGCTTAGATCTAGCATGCACTTTCAGCTGAGCAGTAGGATACAACCTCACTGTGCAAAGGTCAGTAGCTAAGTCGTGAGCTTATCAGGAAAGAGACCAGGAAGCAAATTCCCATGCACAGTTCTTCAAAAAGGAGAAAAACCCACCTACAATCCACAACCCCAGACAATCTAGAGAACAAAGAGGACCCTAAGAGAAACATACATGGAAGACTTAGGAAGGAGAAAAAGATAAGATTTCCTGAGCAAATTGGGAGTGTGGGAGTCGCAGGAGAGGGTAGAATGGGAGGGGTTTGGAGGGAGGGGAGCGGATAAAAATGTTTAACTCAATAAAAACAAAAAAAAGGAAAAAAAAAAGAGAAGAAATAGGAACAAGCCTATCGAGGAGATGAGACCTCTGTAATACAAACTTTATAACATCAAAGGTGCTGAAAAGAGAAACAGAAGATGACAGGCTTCCATGCTTGTGGGTTAGCAAATCAACATTATAAAATGGCTATATTATTGCAAATTATCTTATGTTTAATATACTCTCCTTCAAAACCCAGTGTCATTCTTCACAAAACCAGAGAAAGGAACCTAAAATTCATATGGAAGCACCAAGGATCCCATGTAGCCAAAGAAATCCTAAGCAGAAGCAACACTGCCAGAGGCACATGATACCCAGTCTCAAATTCTACTCAGAGCCATAGTAACTACGGCAGTATGGGCACTGGCACAGAAACAGCCATGTAGACCACTGGAGTGGAATAGAGAACCCAGAAACAAACGCACATGGCTTCAGCCACCTGTTTTCCCCCATAGGTATCAAAACCATACATTGCAAAACAGGCAACCTTTACAACAAATAGCACTGTGAAAACTGCATTTGACATACAGAAGAGTGAAACTAGATTCTTACCTCTTGTCCTGTGCAAAAAAAAAAAGAAAATTAAGTTGAAAATGAACCAAAGACCTTTATGTAAAGCTTGAAACTGCTATGGCAAACCTATTTATCTTTCTTTATGTATATGTATACGTACGTATACACATGTGTGGGTGATCACAGAGGCCAGAAGATGGTGTCAGATTCCCTGAAGCTAGAGTTACAAGAGGCTGCTTGTCACCTGGCAGAGAGTCTAACCATCCAACTCAGGTCCGTGGCAAGGCAGCAAGTATACTCCACCCTAAACTATCTCTCCAGTCTGAAAAACACTTTAAGATACAGGCAGAAGCAGGACCCTTCCTAAAAGAACTCTAAAAAACTGACAGATAAGATTACATAAAATTGAAAAGCTTCACACAACAAAGGAAATAACTACCAAAGTGAAGAGACAACCTATGGGATGGGAGAAAATCTGCCAATTACACTTCAGATGGTGGGGGTGATTGATTTGTAGGAAATATAAAGAACTGCCAAAACTAGACGCAAGAAAAGCAAATCTTCCAGTCAAAGAAATAAGCTAGTAAAAAAAAAATGTTTCACATCCTTACCCATCAAGGAAATAAAAGTTAAAACCCTTGGAGGTTCCATTTGCTTGGTCAGAATGGCTAACATCAAAGGACAGCAGGGCCAGGATGGTAAATCTGTAATCTCACAGAAGAGGCAGGAGGAGCAGAAGTTTAGTGGTGCATAGTAAGTTTGGGGTAGCCTGGGCTATATTAGACACTGTCTCAAAAAATTAAAAAAATAGACCAAAACTAAAAAGGTAGCCAGTACTGGCAAGGATACTGGAGAAGGGAACCATGTCCTCTGTTGATGTGAATGAACGAATAAGGGCAGTATGGAAGGCAGTGTTCTAAACCGCTAAAGGTGGAAATGCGAATGAGACAGACATACCGCTGTTGTGTATAGCCAAGGGACTTTTATGTCCTGCCACAGAGATACTTCATATCCTTGTGTCCCCAAGAGCAAAGACACGGAAGCAACCGGAATGTCCACCAACTGACGAATGATAAAGAAATGTGCTGCATGTATCATGGAATTAGATTCTGCTATAAAGTAAATGGAATCATGACATTTGCAGGAAAAAGGATGGAGCTGGGAACCATTATGTTAAGTGGAATAAACCAGACTCAGAAAAACGAGATTTGTTTTTAATACACACATCCTAGATTTGAAAGAGTAGGTATGAGGGAGGGGATCCAGTAAACTAGGAAGGTGACAGTGGAAAATTCTTAAGGGAAGGAGAGAGAAAAAAGAGGGTAATTGAATGCTTGTGAGGAGAGAGAGAACAGAATAATGGGGGAGGAAGCCGACCAGCAAGAGTCTGGGAGACAAATAAGAACAAAATGTGTACGAAAATGCCGTGGGAAAACACAGCAGTGTGTATGCTCACTTACAAAACTAGAACACCAAGCCAGTGAGCAATGATGCTGTCAGATCTTAATGCCTTGATGAGCGGTGATTTCATTTATTGCCACACAAGCATGGGGACCTGAGTTTGCATGTAAACTACTGGGCAAGGTTGTGTATGTCTCTAAACCTGGCGCTGGGAGGTGGGGGAGGGAAATAGGCAGATCCTTGAACTGGCCAGCTATCCTAGCCCATTGGTGAGCTCTGGGTTCAGTGTGATACTTCATTTGCTTTTTAGGAAATTTAGTGCAAACAAATATAAAAGCATAATGTTAAAATGATTAGTAATGACCGTGGAAAAGATGTTAAACAAATCCTGCTTCTGGTTATACATCGATAGAATGGAAAGCAGAGTCTCGAAGTGGTCTCAGCCACATTCATGCTTTTCATGAGAGCAGCTGGTGTGCCACTGCTGGGTAAATAGATACACTAAATGTGTCTGCTTGGGAAGGGATAGTCAACCTTCACATTTACGATGAGCTATATCAGTTACTTACGTGATCACTGCAAAGGGCTAATAAAAAGTATCTTATTTTCTTATAAAAGTACATATCTTAATTTCAGTTGCTTGTTTGGTCTTTCTGTATTCTACTATAGCTATTCAGTCTTCACAAGTAGACAGTGGTGACAGACTTGCATTGGTCACGAATGCAATAGAATGCTCTCAGAGGCAGATGCATTGCTGTCTTTTTCCGTGGAAGTTATTGACATAGTCTGGGCTAATTTGCTCTTGTTCCTGGTTTTTCCTCTTTTAGGGAATTGTACAGATTAGCCCTCTTTGCAACCTCATAGAGTCCCTACTCTATTTCTGTGTAACTATTAATATAGTTACTGTCAATCTAGTGGTACAGTGCCTTAAATACATTATAGGCATTATCAGTTAATCTTCATGGCTGCCCTGAGGGTCATTAAGACCTCTGTTCAATCCCCCATGCCTGGTAAGTGGCGGTGCCTACAGTGAGAACACAGAGTCTCCCCACAAAGCCTAGGCTATGATCTGTTAGTGCATTTCTCTCTCGGCACCCATTAAACTCTCATGTGCGGTATCCAGAGTGTTACAGGATGACAGATGGCTGAAGCATGCCCTGCTATGATTTCAGTGAGCAAGGCATAACTAACATATTGCTGTATACATTAGTTCATCAGGTGGTTTTAATGTGTAAGAGTTAGGCTGGCGGCCGAGGTCACGTGTTGGTTGTATGTGATTTTCTTAACTAGGAAAAACTTTATCACAGAAATTTCCTCCCATAAATAAGGCAGGCTGCTGTTTCACAGGTGAGTCGCAGGGAACAGTATCCCCTCATCCTGGAGAGTCAGACGGCCACATCAGGTTCCATGGACCAATGGGCTGCTCCAAGGATGCTGATAACAAATTAATGAGAATGTTTTGATTAATGCACATGTTTTTCAACACAAATTCTCAACAAAGCAAGCAGCTTAGCACCCAGTGTCATTGTCTAGCTGCTTTCTGAACCAATCAGGAAGTAAGTGCTAAAGCATTCCAGTGTTGCATGAGTCGCCTGTGCCATAGTTATGCTTTCTCAGCTGTGAAGCCAGGACTTAGAAGCCAATTCTTTTAGCACTAACCATTTGAGAAAATAAAGAATATGCATGTGGTTCACATTTTTTTCTCCCCACTTCAGCTTGAACAGATGGATTTGGAAGTTCGAGAAATTCCACCGCAAAGTCGAGGAATGTACAGCAACAGAATGAGAAGCTACAAGCAAGAAATGGGAAAGCTGGAAACAGATTTTGTGAGTTCAGATCTGCCCTCTGTTGTCCTCAGAGCATTAGGTTGCACTTGTGCCTCATGTCTTTGGTGTTTCCTCCCCATGCCTTAGTCAGCATTAAGTGCACAGTCTCAGAGCTCCTGCAAAAGATGAGCTGCAAAAGATGGGTTTGTTTAGGATTGGGGATCACAGGGATTAGAGTTGGCAAATGACGGAAGTTGGAGGACATGGCTCACAGCTAGATCCTTTGAGTCTGCATGGTTCTTACTAATATTTAGCGTTGGTTGGAATTTCAAGCTCCAGTGTCCCGGGCTGAGTAGATGGTTCAATGCCTGAGGACCCGAGTCTGCAAACCCAGCAGTCATGTAAGCAACTGGGCTGGGTGGCGTATGTCAGCCTTTTGAATATGCTACAACACAGTGGGGCCCTGAGAACATTAGACAAAGCCAAGCAAGTAGTGACTTGCTTGTGATCTGCCCAGAAGGCAGATGAGGTGCACGTTCCCTTACACGAGATTTTGAGAATGGTCAGACCCAGAAACAGAAAGTAAAATGGCACTTGCTGGGGACGGGACAAGGAGTGCCCAGCGCTGTTGTCTGTACAGACTTTCCGTTCTACAAGAAGCAGAGTTCTCCAGCTCAGTGCTGTGAATTTGTCCAGCACCAGTAGGCTAGGCACCTAAAAGGACCTAAAGTCGTGAATTTTATGTCATTTGGATTTTACCACAATTTTAGGATTCAGATAAAAACCTTGCTAAAATTACCGTGAATGATACAGATAAAGTAATGAATGTGAAGGTAACAGTTGTTCTTGTGTATGGGCACAGCAAACTAGGGTTTTCATAAGCAGATCACATTTCATACTCTTCGCGTTTAAAGTGAAAGGACATGCAGGTGAAGAAAGAATTGTCCCTTACCTGTGAATGACACACTTGCGGTTTGTCACACAGATCTGCTGTGTTTGTGAGTCTGGGGTCCACATTTACAGGGAACTCTAGAGTTTATAAGGATCGTTCTGAGTCTGACTGTCCCTTAGTTATCTGTCTGGAAAGTACACTCCAGACTGCACTGTACCTCTCCACCAGTGAATTAAGGGAAATGCTCCTGAGGCTCGGACGCATTCTGGTTTTACATCTTAGTGGGAAACTCTCTGAGAAGTAAGATGGCTGCATTAGTCACTGTGATAGTCAGCCATGATGAGAGATGGAGAGACGCTGCTGAGGAAGCTGGCAGGTAAGGAGGAAAGGCAGATCTGCCTCAGAGTGTCAGAGGGCTCCGTCATGGCTGTTAGAACATCGTGCTGAAGCAAAGCAGTGCTCTTTGTGGTGGCCACTGTCCTTGTTCCTGTGCAGGATATGCCATGCTGACTGACTTCTGTCAGAGGGCCTCTGGCGGACAGGCCACTAAGCCTTAGCATGTGAGCTTTGGGAGGGGCCATAAGTCCCTCTGAAATAAATGCCACTGTGTTCCTATTTTTAAAGAGGCACAAGCAGGGCGGTTGTGACAGTGGCGTGGACGGGGGTATCTATGATGGGTCTCAGTGTCAGAGCTTAGTCCCTGTGCTCCCTGGGTCAGATCACGGGGGGAGGCTGACTTCTCTTGTAGAAGAAATTTGAGGTAGGAAGAAAATTATACTGATTTAATAATTTGTACCTTGTATGGTGGATTACAAAACAGAATTTGTCTACTCAAATTTATACTTAGAAAATTCTCGGATTACTGCCCAGTGAGGAGTGATGACAGCAGAAGAACGTCTGTACGGATCATTTTCCATTTGCTCATCTCATTTTCACAGACTTCTTCGGCACTTGTATTTTTCTCTTGAGTGCCCCCCACAAATACCCTCAGACCCAGCAACCAGTGTGCCCTTTAGGAGAGCTGTCTTAGCAGAAGGCCACCGTCTTGGAGACCATGAAAGGTGTGACAAGGTCACTCCATTGCAAGGCTTCTCTCTTATTTGTGGGTGGTCTCTTTCTGTCCTTACAGGATCTCTTGCACACACTAGCTTTGGAGTTTAATCACCTCTTAGGAGACCTGTTCCCTAAACCCATCTAAACTAGGGCTTCAGCATGTAGACCTGGAGATGCAGCTCAGCCCAGAACACTGAGTTCCATTTTAATGTTTCTATGTTAGATGTCACATTACTTCACTTCCGTAGCTTCTATATCACCTGGCCCAATGTTTAGTCTTACTTTAGGTATTTAGTAATTGTAGTTTTGGGTGAGTGCTCCTTTCTCGGTCACATTTTCTACTATGAAGATAAACAGAACCAGCGACCGTGAGCCCAAGCTTCTTGTCCTGTGACGTTTGTGTGTGCTCACTGCTCTAGCTTGCTTCTGCTGTGTCTGCAGACATCTTTCTCCAGTGCTTTTATGTTGTCTTTACTTATACTTTTTTCTTTTTTTGAGAAAAGGTTGGTCTCACTATTTACCTCTGGCTGGCCTGGAACTTACTGTATAGACCAGGCTAGCCTTGAGTTCACAGAGATATCCCTGCCTCTGCCTCCCAAGTGCTAGTATTAAAGGTGTGCTTTGTCATGCTTAGCATTAAAACTTTTTTTAAAAATGTGCACTAGTATTTTCCTTGCATGTATGTCTGTGTACCACGTGCATGTCTGGGACCAGCAGAGGAAGACGAGGGCATTGACTACCCTAGACCTGGAACTACAGACAGTAGTGAGCCTCCACGTGGTGCTGAGAACCTGTGTCCTCTGAAAGAGCAACCAGTGCTCTTAACCATGGAGCTGAACCCCTCACCTGTCATTTTTATTTTTAAAATTAAAATATGTTCTAATTAATGTAAATGAGTTTTGCATATTAATAGGGCACACTGGAGCATTTCCATGCGTGCATATGCCCACTGCATAGATCAAGTCTGTCCACTCTCTGCCCGTGACTCCTGTTCCCCCCATGCTTTTCTTATACCTAAAAAGCCCCTCTTAATTTCTTTTTGCCTCCCTCTCCCCTTCCCTGTCTCTGAAGACTTTCTACTGTGTTTCTGCAGCTGACATCTGTTTCCATAAGTGTGAGAATGTGTGACATTTGTCTTTCTGCTCATCTGCCACAGTGGCTTACAGTGACCGGCCCTTTGTGAAGTTCTTTAACGAACATTATTTAATCTCATGGTATGATCTGTAGACAGAATGGTTGTGCATTACTGGCTTCAACATGCAGCACCGTAGAACCAAGGAGGCTTAGATGTGTCAAGTCTTCTTTAGTACTGCTGTGTGTAAGGCCCTGTCCTAAGTCCCGAAATGTAGCCTGAATTTGAATGAGCATAATGTTGTTGTTCTTATGGAGTTGAAACTCTAATATGGACCTTGGAGGGGGAACTTCTGAGAAGGTAAAAATACAGATTATTATGTTGCTTTTTAAATTTGTTTTCAATATTGGTGTGAGTGTGCTTAGACCTTGAAAAACAAACAAACTGTGTGAAGTAGTTGGTTCAGGCGAGAGCACATGAGTTTAGCATAGAAAGGCCGTGATGTCAGAACTGTCACAGAAAAGGAACCAGTGAAAGGAGAACACAGTGAGCTGAGGGTTGTTTCTTCGCCGTCAAACTTAAACAAGACACAAACAAACCCCATTGAAGTTGTCTTTTTGTTACAAACACGTGTAAGATGTTTGTCTCAGTAAATAGCAAGGAATCGGAATAGTGTGTAGTGAATCAGAATGCAACTCCAAAGGTCTGCTGAGTGCCTGAGACAGCTGATACTGCATTGTGATGCTAGCACCATCTTGTGGTTGATTTGTGTAGTTGCATTTTTTTTTCTTTTGCAGAGCTGAGCTTCCTTTAAGACAGCTCAGTCCCATAGAAAGGATTGGGCTGTGGTGGGAGTTGGAAGTAGCACTCTGTCCCCTGTCGAAGTCCACTCCTCTCCCAGGTCAGGGTGCCCGAATGCTGTCCTCTCCTGTCTGACAGGCTATGTGATGTGATTGTTAGGCCAGAGCAAGGCCGCCTACATCAGAGAAGGGCCCTTCTATTGACAGTCTCAGCAGTGAGGCTGAATGCTCCCGGAAGTCCAGCTGCCTGCAGACTGCTGGAGTCGTCCCTTAGGTCAGAGCTCAAAGGACGGTGTGAAACAGCTTGAAGCTTTTGCTGCGGTTACCTGCACTGTCTCTTTTCATAGCTGACAGACAACTTGAGTATCCACGGACAGCCTATCTTCTATTTTTTTAAGTCTGAGACTTAAAAGAAGTGTGAATGGGAAAGAGAAATTTAAATTTTGATTTTTTTGGGGGGGGCAAAAGGTTAAGAACTTGATGCCTCTGTTTACATTCTATCTCCCTTGTACTTGTGGTTGCCTGGGATATTTCTGTCTTTGTGGGGACTGTAGGGAACAGTTGAAGCATGTTTAGAAATGCGGCTGGTCTCAGCTTTAATATGTAGCAATTATCACATACTTGAACCTTCTTTCAGGAACATACCTGTATTCTAACAAGAGATACGGGAGCTTCACATTACAGTTAAAGTTGAGAGACCAAACAGCAAAACATGCCTTCTGTAACATGTAGGCATAACGTGTACAGGCTGTACCCTAATAGCCCACTTCCCATTTTTCCCAGATATTGAAGACTCTTCTTAAATTGACTGATCTTTTCAGTTTTGCTGCTATAGCAAGATAGTAGGTCATAAGATTGCTATTTTTGCTTTTGTAATCAAACTTGCTCACTCTGTTTTTTTTTTTAAAAAAAAAGACAGCTGCAAGATATATGTTAAAATAAGACTCTGCCTACACATAGACAAAATTCATATGCTCCGGGAGGTCAGGTTTTCATTTTCGATGGTGGTTTTCCAATCTCTCCTTTCCCTTGCATAACTTTCTGTAACAATGATGTCATTTTTTAAAAATGTATGTTTTTGATTTATGTTAATTTTAGGTCTATTTAATGGGAGCATGTTACTTTTTCAGTTATGTTAGCTTTTGTTGAATACCTGTATGTTTCAATTTATTTCCTTCATCACTTACTGTGCTGCAGTAAATATCTTCAAATGGGTTTTTTAATCAGGATCGTTTCTAAGAAG